ACTAAAAGGGGTGCCACATTAAGTAGGTTAAGAACCCCTATAGTCCATGTGGTAACCCTATTTATCCATATTATCAACCTCCTTACTAACTCCCTCGGACCGTCCAAGTACGTTGTAGCACACGGAACCAGCCATTCAAAACCTTACACGCTTGTAGATAACCAGGGCCAGCTCTTGTGGGCATTGGCAATGTATGTAGGGCCCAAAAGGGTTGTTCTCAAAATTATGGGCCCCTTGTGGTTATGTAGGTTATATTACGGCACCGAATATTTAGGGGTACCAAAATAGGATCGTAATTTTTGGGACCTACCCAAATAACTACCCATCTTACGGTCCCAGGCTCCTTGTATGAATATTGCAGCGGATACCTCCTCTCGACCTCATGGTATTGGTAATCCTGAGGGCTCCTGCATTAGCCACCATTCTCAATGATCCAGGATGGCTGCTAGACTGAAGTAGAAGAAACTGAAGGGCGATAAGCCCTAAATCCTGAAAACTTACAGACCAAGCAGATCTCAGGCTAGAGATGGCCTACCTGGAGCCTACTAAGCCCTTAGTTTTGGGGATATGTGTCACAGGAATGGAGGACATACTCACAAAAAGGTGGGTTCCATAGAGCAGGGTCCAGGTGTGGTTTAAGGCTAACACCCTTTTTCCTTAGAAAGTCAGACATTTCAAGTTGCTACCTTGTCGATGTTCCTCAGCTGGGCTAAGAGCTGCCTATGTGTACTTGGGTCATCGTGATATCAACTCGCAGATTTTGACGCTAGGCACTCATGATTTCAGGCTCCGTAAAGACACAACATGGCAGGCTGCGACTCTTCCTACAGATGTGGCGAAGGCCTAACTCCAGCTAAGGCTAACGGGGTCGGGAAAGTTTTCTGGCCGCTGGGTTTTGGGTACAGGATAGCTTTTTGAAGTTGTAGAGTTTAGGAATTGGGGCTTAAACCCTGGATTTCGGTCTTGGGGCTTTAGGGTTGGGGTTCCAGGGTCGTGGTCGTTTTCCTCAGCAAGCTGGGACTGCAATGGAGGGTCAGACATGGACTAGCTCGGTGCGAATAGGATTTAGAGTTTAGGGTCCAAGGTCTGTCTATTGACCTGAAAATTCGGGAAAGGGCAGCAGCTGCTCAGTTCTTGGAGGAATTTAGAGGAAGAAGTTTTTCAATGGCATTATCAGTAGATCAGAGGGTCACCTGCCTGGTGGCAGTGGGAGCCATCTGAATGGAGATAGCAGGCCACGGGGAATGGGGCTACAAGTTCCACAGGGATTGTGCAGGACTTTTGTTACTGTTTTGTCTATCACTATTGTTACTGTGTCACTGTTACTACTGTGATTACTATTGAAATTTGGATACTGTGTCCTGAGGTTCATCCAAGAATCTTCTTGGAGCAGTATCTCGAGTTTTTCTACTTGCTGGTCGTTCGATGGGAATGCAAATTATCATATTTTGGGGGGGGTCGTATATGGGCTGCTTTAGGGATGCACTCCTCCATTCCCTTCTAGTCACCAGTCGCAGCTGATCCCTAGCCAGGAGAACAGAGAGCCCTGGAGCAGTCAGGGTGAGATATCTGTATACGTCTTTTCAAGAAGTGTATCTTGTTTCGACTCACCGCCACAAGCCACGTCGCGTCTACAAGGGCCTGACATCATCTCATGTCTGCTAGCGATGCAACCGTTGTGTGTTGCACTGCTTTTGTTTCTGCTTCTGGGCATGTGGATGTTGAGTTTCGCACCCCGAAGCCACTCTCTCTAACAGAATATCCCACCTACCTAACCAAGGTCCCAGAACCCCAGCTTCTCACAACTTGAGATTGTCTTGCAGGTCCGACTTCAGCTGCAAAGCAGCTCTGATGGTGAGCTCAGGCCCTGCAAGCAAGGGCTTGCACATTTCAGACTTCAACGAACCATGACCTCGCAAACGGGCTTTTTGCCCGCTTTAGATGATTCTGATAGCTTCTACATCCCGCTAAGTCTTAGGCGTTGACATGTGAATAGGGGCGCGATACTGGAGGAGATTTCAAGCTGCAGCTCCTGGGCAGTCAGCGCGTTGTGCGAACAGAATTCCTACATTGGGGCGTGCTATTTTCCTGACTTGCTGGGTCCCGGATTGGGCACAGGCCCCCATTTTCCTGAGCAATTTTGGCACCACGTCACACGAATGGCCGGCTAGTACGCCACAGTTTGAGTTCAGGGTTTAGCCACCGGCCTAATCAACAAAAACAACAGCCCCCGTAAACAGCAGCATTCCCCAAGCATATTATTGGTACTGTTTTGGCAATGTGCCATTCTTCGGAGGTGGAGAGTTGATCGTAAGGAATAAGAGGTCTTAAATGCAGCTATTATTCCTGTAGTCTTATCAGTAAGTACTATTATAACTATATGAGCCATATCTGAGCTGCGAAGGTATCACGGCATGATGGACTGCATTGTGAAGGCGCATGCAACAATGTTCGGGTTTAACCATTCGCTACAAATGCCCACTAGAAAGGAGGGCTGTATGTTGGATTTCCCTGTTCGCTCCGGTTCAACGCGATGAGAAATCTGTGGCAAACAGAGCATTACTCGCCTTTGTCTAGGGATGTCGTGAAAAGAGTGTAAATTCCTTCTAAGGTGGGTGAGGGCAGATAGATTTGCTTGCATTCCGGAGGTTGCAAAAGTGGAAGGATATGGAGCGCGGGGGACCGAGAGTTATGCCTGTGCTGGTCTACAACGGCGCGTTTGACATGCAAGTTCAAGGGGAGCTACCGAGTCACCATGAGGGCACCTTGCTGAAGCCTAAAAGTCCCCTGGTAATTACGCCTCCCATAGCCCCAATTACGTAATATGCGTGCCAAAACAATGGATTTTTGAGCTGTAGGTTTTGAAGTGCGAGATGAGAAAACGGAGAAAAAGGGGTGGTCCATTCACCACAGATTCTCATAATGTCATCCTCCCCGACGCAACCGAGGCTGTGGAAAGGGCTTGTGCCGGCGCTGGTACGACAGGCCTTGACTACCCAGATCAGCCATGTCCTATCGAATTAAAGTAGTTGATTGTGTAGAGACTACTGAGCGCAGCTAAGGCTATGCAAGAGCACAAACATCCAAACTGCTCAACTCTTTGTTCCACCAACATACTATGGTAGTTTGCATTTTCTTTTTCATTATCCCGATACAACTCCAATATACTATAGTAGTTTCCATTTTCTTTTCCATTATCCCCATATAACCCCAACATACTATAGTAGTTTCCATTTTCTTTTCCATTATCCCCATATAACCCCAATATACTATAGTAGTAAAAACTTCTGTGCAGGTATCTTACCACTCGTTCACCTTTGTCCTCTACGAGCCCATTCGGGTCGCGGGCTGAGAACTTTGCAGAGCGTGGGCAGGCTGCATCCAGACGTTTTCTGCTTGCTTGGGAATCTTATCTCCAGTTTTATAGGGGAGAAGATAGGGATAGTGGAGAAGACAATGGAAACTACTATAGTATGTTGGGGTTATATGGGNNCTACTATAGTATTTTGGGATAATATGGGGATAATGGATAAGAAAATGGAAGCTACTATAGTATATTGGGGTTATATGGGGATCATGGAGAAGAAGAAACTACTAGAGAGGAAGCCTTTGAGGCGGCAACCAGGAAAAAGGTCGCGTAGGCGACGGTATATTAACATGGCTAGCAGCTAGAACCACATGAGTAGTATTTAATTTCGGGATGCTATGGTACCCAATATAGAGTAAGATTATATCCTCCTTTTGGGGTGTAGTATTTTATATAAAGGATATCATCTTACTAGGTTCAACCATCAAAGAAAAAATGCTCAGATGAGCTGTAGTCCAAACTCCTTACAGGGGGGTTATGTAGGGAATTATACAGGGGAGTATTATAGGGCTTATTAAGGGGAACACTAGGAGTTTAGACTATAGCTCGCATAGTGTAAGCCTTGACTGACACGCTTTTCAGGAAAAGTTCCAGCATGCGGGTCAGGTTGTGCTTGTGGAGTTTGACTTTCAAACTCACGCTTCTCTGGTTTGACCCTGGAAGGGTGTCGGCCCAAAAGCCCAATCTTGTATGTGGTAGCTTCCTTAACTAGAGAGCAAAATGCTGTAATCCTTATTCTGGGGACCCCAGAGATTCTGGGAAACCTCATACCCACTTCCTCGAGGATGTCGTGAGCACGCTGCTGGCAATGGAGCCAGGTCAGACGACATATCTGCTGCCGGGGCCCCATAGCGTGTGAAGGGTTTAGGGTTCACGGGGTTACTTGTGGTTCGTAGGAAACGAAGGAGTACGGGGTATGGACATTATTATCTACTCGGAGGATCAGGGGGAGTTAGCAAGTAGAATAAGAATCCCTAAAATCCATGTGCTAACCCTAACTGTCCCCGTTTTTGGCCTACTTACTGAGTTGCCGTGCCCTACTAAGTAGTAAGATAAATTGGAGAAGTCCCCAAGCTTCACCACTACTCAACCTACCGATGCTTAGCTGGGAATTGGGGAAAATAGCTATAGAGAAAAATCCTGAAACCTAAATATAACGGGACCATGTCAATCCGTAAGTCCTAAACCATTGGAGATTGGAGAGGGATCGATGAAGGATCTACATGTTCAGTTCAACGTTTTCTTCGGCAACAAATAAAATTCATGCTTGGGCCCAGTAGCAATGTATAGTGTAGAATATATGATAGTTTGAATTGAATGTTACATCTTTTGTCTTTCCCATTTGATTCATACCTCTATACACACTAAACCCTAAAGCTTAGACCCTAAACCCTGAACTAAACCCTCATATACCCATCCCCTGCCCGTTGGGCCTGAGGCGCCTGGTCTCCGCAGGAACCTCCGCGGCCATTGCAATCGCTCTCTTCAATCCTACCGAGGCCTTAGTGGGTTCAAGGGTTTCAGGGTTTATAAGTTATAGGTGTTAGGGTTTTGGGTTATGGGTTCAAAGGTTTGGGGTTTAGGGCTTAAGGTTAGGGGAGTCTCTGGAGGCTACGCAAGGATCAGATTTCGAAATGTAGGGGTTCCATAAATTACTGGTGTTTTTTGGGGGGTCCCCATAACAAGGATTATGGTATTTTGGGTGCTTCTTATGGAAACAGGAGGGACTGTTATGGGGCCTGGGCTTTTGAATGCCTAGATTTCTTCATTTGTTGGTTCTTTCATGCTTTATTGTCAGGCCCCCATGGGCAAGCCCTTCTGCAGGGTTAAGGGAACGAGGTCAAGTGGTTTCAGGGTATGGGGTTTGAAGGTCGGTTTGGCTCGCACAGACTAACAGTCCCAGGCCGCTCTCTATGGAAACTACCACATACCGAGGCACAATTACCCAGACCTAATAATGCAGCGCTTGATTTGGAGGTACTTGGCGCAAAAATGTAGTACGTTTTAGCGTCAGACATGCAGGGAATAGTCAGGCATGCGACAGCGCCGACATAGTTATCTTGGCAAGATGTAGGGAATCCCAAAACCATTCGCGATGGCTTAGCTTGGGGTTTTATCAGAAGTGGTTGTTAGAGCTGTAATGTCCTCCTTGCTTCCTGTGAGGACCCAAATCTCCGAGGGCCCATGTTTCCCTGGACAGGTCATCAAGACGCAGATACAATCCAGCTCGGCTACCCTCACGATGCGGGAGGCAAGTAGGGTTTGAGGAAGTTGTGTGAGGAATAGATGCAGGTAGGTACCATCAGGGTCGTCCATGTGTCATGATATGAGGTCTGTTCTATGAGTTCTGCTCGGGTCATTGAGGAAGGCTCGGGGCTTCTCAACTACTGGGCCTTTCCTGGGAGATTCTGATCAAGGACCGGCTATGTTAATCTGTTTGTCGGTTTAGCTGCTTCTTGGCTTCTCTAGTCCGACGCTGCAAGACTGTTCGGTCATGCTGGTGCAGGACTTTTTCTGTACTAGGTAGGTACAAGTATCTTCTGTTTTGAGGACCTTCATCAGGATGGTTGAGGGCGGACAATGTTCATCGTACTGCAGCAGCACGAAATCCAAGGGCCAGCATCGCAGAGCGGTGCGCTTTCTAGGGTGTGAGGCTTGCCTCAGACGATGTAGTATAGAAGAATCGTTCAAGTCAATCCATAACCATGTTGTAGCCTGACCGCTGCTTTTTTGGCAGCTGCGAAATTTGCATGAAGTATCTTAACCGCGCAAAGACATGAGAGGTTGCGTCAGCAACGAAGTACGCGTAGAAGCTCTCTGCAGTCAGACTCCACATGAGCAATCTCAGGGCTAGCACCGAAGCCCCAAATCTCACGGTGAAAAGTTTGAACTTCCTGCCTCTGCTGCCATTTGTGGCCATTTAGCAGAAAACAGGAGGTAGAGATCGTAGAGCCGATGCATCGTTCCAAACATATCTCATATCCTGGCACCTTGCCCCAGTAGGACTACACGGTTCTTGACCCAAACCTTGGCTTTACCTTTGCTTAGCTAGGAAGGAAAGAATGGATCCTTGTATTAGAGCCTATATTGCTCATCATAGTAGTTTCCATCTTCTTTTCCATTCCTTCTGAACCCGAAGCCCTAAACCCTAAGCCCTATAGTCGTTTCCATTTTCTTTCCCCTTCCTTCACTCCCAGCTAACCAAGGTAAGTAGCCCTAAGCTTAACAACAGGTCGCATCCAAAGCCGCGTTCTCAGATCCGGTTCTGGGCAAAGTCAAAATTGAGGTTTCGGGTCTAGGGCTGTAGGGTTTAGGAAGTGAAGCAAGTATGATACATTCCTGTGTTGATTTTTGGTATGATAAGTTCCGCAGCTCCTTAGGCATAGGAGACTGAATGACCGCCAAAAAAATACACAGGGATCCTTTCCCTTACCTCACACCTCCCACTGGATTGCTGTGTTTGAACTTAATTTGCATTACTGTAATGGGGAAGCCCTATTAAATACTATATATGCCCATTATGGTANNAGTTCCTTAACAGCAACCCGGTTTCCCCCACCCACCTGTGAAGCTTTTGGTTTCTCAACGTTGGGACCCATGTGGATCATACCAGGCAGTGCCCTGCCCCAAATCAGTAAGGAAACCCATGCAAGCCTATGTAACGTACAGTAGTCTTCGTTCTTTGCTCATGGCAAGGGGATCTTGGTCCGGGTTCCACCACAGATACATTTGTGCTGAAGTGAGGCAGGCTCAGGGCTGTACAAGAGCTTCTCGAGATGCTGGTGGTGCGGAATAGATCCGAATTGCGCATACTTAAGTCCTACATCTTCTTTAGGATGGACCCATGGCAAAGATCCAGGTTTTGAATGCCAGCAGCCCTTGAGGCCACTGACCATGCCCCGTTATACTTTAGGGTCGACAATTCAGCACAAAATGTCAAGGTCATCTCAAAGTATTCTGCTCACACACTGAGATAATTTAGGCTTCTCCCAAAATCTTACATCTCCGCATAAATGAAGTTGGCATCTCGGTGGTTGCAGGTATGGAAGAAGGACGGAGCCAAAGGGTTCTGGGCCGGAGTTCGTCCCAACGTGGTAAGGACAGAGCTCAAGCTGACATGGGGTGTGGGGGGGGGGGGGGCCNNGCCTAAATCATGATATCTCATGCGCTCTTCTTATAACACAGGACTGTACCCTGTAGGCCCTTAACCTCGCCAATCACTCCTTTAGTCATACGCAGACATTGAAGGCATAAAGGGTGTAAGCAGGTAGGTTTCGAAAGTTCATCGAAATCCTGTTCAGCAGTTTGGCTGCATTAAACCCCGGTGGTTTAGGGTTTAGGACTTGCAGAGCAGACTTGGATGCAGCCGCAGGACCTTTCTGGTCAACGGCGCAGAGATAGGCATCCAGCCGTTCACTTATGGCGGGGTCAAAAGAATTGGGACCTAAGCATGCAGCCCTTCAACATGTGGATTTGTCTAAATTCAATATAACACGGGTCCCTTTAGTGGGGTTCCCACAATCAATGCAGATCCGTGTTTTGATTTCCTTCATATTAGGCACAGAAATTCAGGCCAAGCCCCACATGTAGTCTCGGATTTAGGGCTTGGCTTCGGGCCCGGGTTTGGGGCTAAGTGCTTAGGGTCAAGTTGCCCCGAGTTTATGGTTCATGGTCTACGCGTTGGAGTTCTGGACTGCAGTTCGGGCCTGGTCAAACGGAAGATGCTGCAGGAGTCTTGAGACAATAAGCAATAATCATTGTTCGGTATTGTTTGGGAGCTGGTGGTAATGTAGAAGTTTAAAGAGCTAGTGAGGCATGATACCCCCAAAGATGTTTCGAGATTTAGTAGTTACCTGCCATGTGGATACAGTTTGCATACCTAGAGTGCAATTCTTGGCGGCCCCAAATTAGAAGGCGCGGTGCTGTAATAGCACCCAAAAAGGGCTCCATAAGTTTGATGACTAGGCCGCAGTACGGAAATGTTTCAAACATGCTGGCATGTCCACCACGTACAGCTATCTTAGGCGGCATGTAGCTGCACAAAAGTTCCTTAGAGTAACTACCCTAAATCCTTAACTCCAAACCGCATATTTAACTCAGAGAAGCCCCTGATGCAAAGCAGGCACCTACGATGAGTCCAAGCTGGTACTGATCGAGTCGGCCGGTGATGGATTGGCGTAGCTCCCAGAAGGGCTTGTTGATGCTTTGTGCTTGCGGTCCAAGGTTTCTAGGTTTTATGGTAGTGCCCCTCTATGCCAGGGAATCCGAATATGTTAGCGCATATTCGGTGAACTTCTCTCTTTTTTGTTGCCGAAGCTGTATACTTCTACAGGTCTCCAGTCTGCAAGGCGCCTTGCGAACGTCGCTGGCATGCGCAGTGTAGAGCCAATGACACTCAACAGCAGGCCCTGTAATTGGGTTGTTGTTAAGGAACTTGAAGTAACTTACCAGAATGGAGGTTTATAGCGAATAACAACAAAGGTTCTCATATCGTTGGTCACCTAGTTTAAGTTTCTTGACAGCAACCAGTTGAAGCCAGAGTTCCCCTACCCTTGGACTGAAACCTGAGGCACCGGTGACGAGTGCCACAATGCGATGTATGGTTTAGAGGCACCACCTTCCATTACTCCCACTCATGGTGCATTCAAATCCAAGATCCCGAAGTCTGTAAGCGGTGCTATTTAGTCTGCTATGAGCCCGCCTGTGCAATACTGATAGCTTGTACACCATGAAGCCTCTCGCGCATCCTAAGCCCTGAGCTCGAAGCCCCAAACCTCAAGCCCAAAACCCTACACCCTGAACCCTAATTACTCTCTAAACCCCAATGCCGGACCCCTTAATGCGGCCCTACTTAAAGTTATTGTAGGGCACCCCAAAAGAGACCCAACAAAAGCGTTGACCACCCCAAACCCTTAAGATTAAAACCTTCCACCCGAAACCCTGCACCCTGTAAATCTCATATCCCTCAGGCTTCCAGCCCTACATTTACGGATATCTATATATATATATATCTATGTATCTGTATACATATAATATATAATCCTAAACCCTAGACCCTATATCTTTATATTTGTATATACATATATATATATATACATACTCTTTGTCCTTACATAACTGTCAGAAGCCACTTGTGAGAAAGCCCCCAAGCTGGCTGGCCTAACCCTAAGCCGTAAATCATAAGCCCTAGACCCTAAACCCAAGAAAAGAAGCCCACAAAAACAAAAAACTAAGCCCGGTTTAGTGTTTAGGGTTAAGCCCAAAAAACAAAAAAAAGAAGCCCTAAACCCTAAACCGCTGGCGTCTCAGTTCGCTCACGTCGGGGCGAGCTTTGTGGCTGGCTTGGCCTCGGCCTGTGTCAGGTCCCCAAGGTTCGCTTCAGGGTGCTTGAGGGAGAGTGGGTGAGCGGATCCCCCGCACAATACCCACCGGAGGTATTACCCGTAGCTGTGTATATATATATATATACAGTCCCATATTACAGGGCCACAGAGGAAATGGAGAACCAAATGGAAGAGAAAATGGAAACTGAGATGATATCTGTGGATCCATGTTTCGCCTATATATTCCACATGTATATGCATAACCATACTAGTCCAAACACTCACTACCCCCAGCAGCGCCCAGCGTGAGGAAGAGTGGATGGGGAATGGGGAATTCTTCACATCACAGCTGCAGGCCTGCATAGTTGCAAAAAAACACAGGTTGAGCTGAAGCCTGCAATCAGGAAACCAAAAATTAAGAGCAAGTGTCCCAACTTTGAACAGCCTGCATTGTGGTTTCAGGTTTAGGTCTCATGGCTTGAAGCTTCGGGATCTTGATCTGGATGCATAGACACTCCAAACACCATCCAGCCCGACAACCGCTGAGGTCTCAACACCCGCAGACGTCGTAAAGACGCGGTTCATGAACGCAGCCGGCTCTGAACAGGCGCTATCAGAGGTCCTTGTGGGTGGTTGTCAAAATTATGGTCCCTTTTTCGATCCCTATTATGTTAAGGCACCTAATTTTTAGGGTACCCAAAAAAGGGACCATAATTTTGACAACCACCCTTGTATATGCAGCATTTCAAGTCTAGCCTCCCGCCTAATCCTTACATGCACACATACACACCAAAGTAGTTGCGTCACGTACAAAGCCTTGAGCTAGCTGCACAAGTGGGTGGAAGGCCTCCACTTCGTTGACCTTCTAGCCTGCTCAACATACAAGCGTGTTCGGCGTTTAATTTTTGAAACAAGCCGCTGCTCCGATGGTGTCGTTCAATTGATTCAAGGAGCTTGCACGTTTTCCACGCATAGCCTTTATTCTTAGCACTTAAGCGATGGGCATTCCTACTGCAGGCTTACCGGGGCATTGTGCACACCCTCTGCAGCATCTTGCGCATGGGCCTCAGGCGAGCTCCAGCACGAAAAAGACGCAGCCAAAAACCAAGTAAGACTATGTTTGCTTTCATGCTGTCTGAGGGATCTCTTCATATGCTTTGCTATGCGCAATATCTTAGCTGGTTTTAGCGTGTAAACCGAGTGCTGTACTGGACTTGGCTCGAGTTCAGTCTTCATGGGCCCCATGTGCAGAGAGCTGACAGTGCCCCATATTAAGCAGCCTTCAATGCACAGACAGTTTGGGGAGGATTCACCAGACTGCAACCCTGCTTGCTTGAAGAAACTAGTGTCCAATGTAGGGAGCCTTCTGATGCCTCACCTCCTTGCAAGCAGCATCCTCTGCTACTGCAGGTTAGTCTTTGGGAAGGGCATGCTTACTATGCAGGCAGCAGAGAGCTCGTCTTCGCGTTTTGCTGTCAGGAAGAGATGTCAAAGCAAAATTCACAGTGCAACATCATTATGGCCTTTGGCTTACTGGTGGGTACTAGGGAAATTGTGCATGTAATCCCTGTATGATTATATTGTCCCTTCTTCTCTATTAACCCCCGGTAAGTAGCGCCTATGCGGCCCTACTTCTGCAAAGCTGAAAAGCCACGCCATTACAAACACAAGGCCTGTGGAGGGTTTCCAAAAAATTGGGGGAAATCGGAATATTTTGGGACAATGGAAAAGATAATGGAAGCTACCATTTAGGGTTTCCGCCAGTGCTAACTCTGTAAAGCCTCAACTTCCCAAAGTTTGAGAAGAGGATGGAAACTAGTCTTGCCGAATAGCACCTCAGGGGTCTTGAAAGCTTGCCATAGTTTCGAACAGGATGCCCAGAGTGGTGCCTGTGTGAGCCACAAACACAAACTCAACTCCTTAAAGGGGCGTTATATAGGGGACTATGATAGGGGTTATCGAGGGGATACTAGGAGTTTAGACTATGGCTCATTTGGGGCCCAGCATGTACCAGTGACACCTTCAGATCTGGTCTCTACCTCTTCTCTGTCAAACTCCGCCTCTCGAACTGCACTCTGCATATGGATTTGAGCTTAAAGTGCTCTGCGCAGCACACTTTCTTATTGGAAGGACCTTGAACCGGTAGACCTTGAGCAACAGCCCCCGCTGAGGTCTGGAAGGTTTCCTGGCCCTTTACAAGGCAGTCGGAGTGGGAAGTTTCTGGACCTAGCTGTATGGCTCCCTGTAACGTATGTTTTCACGAGGATGTCGTTGTCAGTCTCCATGGGAACAATATAGTCCCTTTATGGTAGTCCCTACATAAGCCATTATAGTAGTTTCCATTTTCTTTTCCATTATCCCAATATAACCCCAATATAATACCCCTGTAATCTCTTTAGATCCCTATATAATTAACCCCTATATAACCCCATGTAATACCTATAACCAATATAACCCGAATAATATATATACCCCATTATTCCAATATAACCCCAAGATAGCCCCAAACCCCTAATCGTTTTCGCACAGTCCCGGACTGTGCGAATGTGGAAGTTTTCAGCGGCACCTCCGTCACAGCAAGGACCATCTCAAAGCGGAAGCTATATTTACAGGGTAGTATATAGGGGCTATATAGGGGTTATATTGGGGTTACATTGGGGATAATGGAAAAGAAAATGGAAACTACTATATAATGTAAGCTATATTTCAAGAGCAGAGGCCCGTAATGTTGCCGCAAGATCATTACGGTACCCTGACTACTGCGTCTCCCACGCCTTACTCTGGTGTTGGACATGCTGAGCGCAGGTGACACCATGAATTGCAGAAACCCATGAGAATCCTGCAATTGCGTTCCAATATCAACAGCTCGTTCCTGGAAATGCTGCGCAACTATTAGGAACGTACACCCGATGACTTCATAACATGCATTTCCTTCAATGCGGGATGTGAGGGGTGCTTTCTTGCATAAAGTGATTAATCAGTAGTATTGCTGTTGCCATCACCATGCGTATTACGAATTACTACACTACTCTACTACTACTACTACTACTACTACTACTACTACTACTAGCCCCCCCCCCCTACCAACTACGTTTGCTTAAATGGCCACATTAATA